AATATCAGCTCCTCCAAACACCACAGCCTTAGGCAGTGAGCTGCAAGGCTGTAGAAAAGTGATCCAAAGCTACGCACGGTGTCTAAAGTACTCCTGCTCATCACAGGGACAACCGGCGTTGGGCTGGGATCAGGCCCGGACCAAATGCAGGTGCTGAGGGCCGGCATGGGCTGCATGCAGAGCCAGTAACTCGACAGCGATGCAGGTTAAGAAAAAAATGATGTAAGTTTTAGATTTTATTCATTCGTACAGTATTTACAGCAGTTGCTTTCATATTACAATTCTCTTTCATCTGTTCAGTTTTCACTTATAAAAAATTAACCAAATAAACCTTATATAACCAAATGTATCACAGCAGGTCTGGTTAATTTTCACAGTTACAGCGGCCATCAGGAACAGCACTCAAGTACCCACAAGTGATTCATTCCCTCCCGGTGCCCTAGGGACGCGCTGCTGCTCCTTGGGAGCCGTCGGTCGGCGGAGCAGCCGCGCGGGACGCGGACGCCTAGGAGCACACGCAGGCCTAACTTGAATCTGTGGCGCTCCTGCCGTGCTCCAGGCACCGCTCGGTGTGAGGCACGCGGGCAGGCTGCAGGCTGACGGCTGGTTCCTTCCCTCGCAACAACTGGGGTCGTGCGCCGTCTTTTCTGCCGTGGTGGGATCCCAGCAGTGGCGGCGTGCGCTGGATTAGGGAGACGGCTGCAATAAATGTTTGCCTCTCTTTGTGCGGCTGTCACAGCTTTTCTCGTGCCTCTTGAAAGGGGCGCTCTCTCCGACTCGGAACACTGTTTGCAGTAACTTACCCTTAAAGACTACCATGAAAAAGTCCTCCACTTTTTAAGCCCGGGCACAGGCTGCCCAGGGAGGTTGTGGAGTCTCCTTCTCTGGAGATCTTCCAAACCCGCCTGGATGCCGCCCTGTGCCCCGTGCTCTGGGTGTCCCTGCTGGAGCAGGGGGTTGGACTGGATGATCTCTAGGGGTCCCTCCCAACCTCAACCACTCTCCGATTCTGTGATTAAGATGTTTAAATAAGTATCCACCATAAGGCAGGGTAATCTACGCCGGCAAGTTACCTGCAAACAGGACGCCCAGTCTTAAAGAGCGACGGCCTCTCTCACAGCACCCAGCTCTGCTCCCCACGTCCACGGCAGCGCTTGATGCCAGTGTGCTCACAACTGCATCGTCGTTAACTCTTTCCCTGTTCTCGCCCCAACATGCTCGTTTGCTTTACATTGGTAATTATTGCTGTTTTAGAATATGCTCATGTTTCTTTGAGGACTTGTAGCCGCTTCCCGTTACAAAGTACAGTACATACTATGCTGAACATAGAAAACACAAGACTCATTTCACATCCGTCTTGTACAATGGTGAAGAGATGCAGAGTAAGAGGTTATTCAGGGGAATGTGAGTTTCTCTTTAGGCATGAGTCAAACCCGTAACCCATGTGCTTAAAAAGCCTTAGACATGAGCAGTTCTGTTAAACAATTTAGCCCCCTTTTTTTTCTCAACTGACATTGGACATTTTCCAAACGCATTCCACACACTCCGCTTAGCACTACAAAAAAGGATTTTTTACCTTTACCGCGTTTGTCTCAAGGAGACTTTTGCTTTCGTAAAAGAACACAGCACACAAACTGCTTAAAGCTAACAAACAGCCCAGCACAATCTTAAGTACAGCCCACAAAGCAACGGATGCTTTGTTTAACCTAATCGTATAGTTTTTTAAAAAAAAAGCAAATATACATATTATAAGTCAAAAGTCTAAGCTTTGGAAGAAAAGAAACTGAAAACAATGTTAGCTATATGCTCATTACACTTAAATAGCAGTAGCTGCGTCACATTCAAACATGTGTTACTTGTAAATAAATATACAGTTGTATTATGTTTGTTTTATGCTCTTGGTCTCAAAAACTCCCATGTTTTGACCTAAACCTGAAACTCCTGTTTAGACTTTAGAGCATGATCTTCCCGCAGCTGACCATCGGGTAACACAAAGACCGCACTGAGCCCTAATTGGAAACAGTGCTTGAACTCCAAATGCTGACTTGGAGCTCGCTGTTTGGAATGATGCTGTGTTTTAACTAAACCCTCTGTTGTTCAACTTACTCTCCGGCTTACTTTATTTGCAACGCAAGCTACTCACAGCGAGAATCCAGGTAGCGTTTTTTTTCAATGGGAGATAAACTCAGTGCATGGGCTCTATCACTAGGGAGGCAAGAGCATTTAGTTTTTCAGCTTACGGGTCTGTGTGGAGATAGTCTGAGTGAGAAAGAAAGGAGAAAATGATCTTATTTAGTACTTTGCATCCATTCGTTCCCTCCACGTGGCACGGTATGTTCTACCACAGGACTCCAGTTAAGTGTGCAACTGAAATGCTTTCATTAGGCTTTAAACAGAGTGCATACCAGCAGCATTAAACTAGCACTAATGAAACACAGGCGGCCAACGAACGTGAAATCAGGCTGTTAATGCAGAGGTAACTGGAGCTGGTTCCTGCCCTTGTGTGTTTGGCAACTGTGAAATCCCTGCAGTCAGTCTCTATCCATTTGCACCTTAGCCAGAAAAAAAAAAAAAAAAAAAAAAAAGACACTGGCAAATTAAAAGGCAGAATGCACTTAAATGGTGGGTGGATAAGGTTCAGTGAGGCAAGGGATGGCAGCAAATACAGTGATAAGGTTTGGTAAAATTGGGGTTCCCGTGGGGATTTCAGCCACGAGGCCTTCACTGACTTCTGTTGTTGTGGTTTGTAGCCTCCAGGCCTCGTTCTGCTGCTGGAGCAGGGCAGGTGAGGGGGACCGGGCACCCACGGGCCCAATCCCGACAGGGATGTGCCGCGTTTGGCTACCTCCTTTTTCTCTCCCGGCTCATTTTTGCCCTGATCTGCACACAGGGCTCTGGAGCTGGCCCCGAGTACATGGCCCGACTCCTGCAGCAACCCCTGCTTTGTACACTGCAACTCACAGCCCACGCAGGCTGCCCGTAACAGCCTCTCAAAGCAAAAACCAGCGCTACAGACCCCGAGTGCCCAGGGCACCGCCACAGTCTCGCTACATGACAGTTAAACCCAGCCTGCTTCAGACACGCGTCTCTTCAGACGCCTCATGATGAATCTGCCCAAACTACCATGGGGCTGGCAGCGGGGCGGCCTACGGGGACACAGGGGCCCACGGGGACAACCCGCCAGGAAGGGCAGGCGCTGGGCCCCACGCGCACGGCCACCTCGGCACATCTTCCACCTCAACCTGAACCTCTTCCACTACCTCTACGTTTCCCAAGTAAGGCTGGAAAACCTCCGTGGCCATCAGGAGGGACAAGCCGGGTGTGGGGACGGGCAGCCCCAGCTCCCAACACCGCAACGCTCCGAACTGCACGTTTTAAAAGCGCCTTCCTCAGGCAACTCACCGGGGAGCACGAACAGATACTGCAATCTTCAGAGCTCAGGCCATTTCAGAAAAGATACTGGTAAGTAGATGGTACCTCTGTGTCTGTGCGATCTGGTGGGATTCATTCCAGTTTGGGTGCTTCTGACGGGATACAGCATTTTCTGACAAAGGCACAGCTTTCAAATAAAACCAGCAACATTCTTGCAATTAAATATCCCAATAAAAAATTAATGCTAAATTCAGGCTTTATGTATTCCTCCCTTATTAAGAGACTAGTATTTCTTTTTTACCTCTGGAAAGGTTTTAGTGCAGTGGTTATATAGCAACAGAAAAATAAACTAAAAAAGGCACAAATTGTCTTGAGTTGTTTTTTTTTTTTTTCTCTTTCACTTTTGCTAATGCTTTTATATTTGTCTATTTTACTCAGGTTAATAAATCACTGAAAGCAGCAAGAAAATATTCTGCCCATTTCTGTACACTATACAACCCCCCCCACCAACAGTACATTATTTCCACGTCAGGAGAAATGTACAGCATAGAAAGACTTTTTTTAAAAAATATAGTACCCCGTAAAGCAGTTTTGCTAAGGGAACTCCCCGCCTCTTGCTACAGCGCCCTTCCTCATCCTCATCCTTTCCCTTATTGCTGGCCCAGCCGCCCGTGAGGAAGGAGCGCTGGCTCCACGGCAGCTTTTGGGGCCTCATTGCTCCGGTTTTCGCACCCCGGGCGCTGCACCGCGACCCGGCTGCCTCTTCCCTCCCCTTCTGCCCCAATTTGACTTGCTCCTTGCACCCCTGCGTCGCCCTCGGGCCCCTTCCCGAGCGCTGCTCCGTGCGCCGAGGCGTTTGCAGCGTTCCCAAGTACAAGCACGAGTAACATCTGCTCTCACCTTTCCATCAGTTGCATCATGATAACCCTTTTTTCCCCATACCCATAATATTTCACAGAAGAGTAACCCAACCCTGAAATATATTATTTTTTTCCCTTTGTACGTATTAACACTGCTGAATCCCTCCACCCAACCCACATTAATTGCAGCCAGAAATATTTTCTCTTTATACCTCTGTCACCACATTTTTAAAGTTAAAACCTACTGCTTTCTCTTCCCCAAGCCGCAACTCATGCAAAGTTACTATTTGCTTAAATAAGTTATAAAAGTTGATATTTCAGGCTAGAAGAAGCTGTAGTCTCGGTTATTCTTTAGTTGGCAGGCACTGTACATACATACCAGGTACAGATGCATGCCGAATCTGCTTTGCATTGCTTTTTGCATTGTACAATTCACAAATCTGACATCATTAAAGCAGTTAATTACCTTTTATGGCAGGCTGCAGTGAGGCCATCTACATTTATCAAACAAGCAGCTGGTTAAGATAATAAGTCCGTCCCCCCGCCCCGCTCCCCCCCAAACGCCATTATCCGTCACACGTTGCTCCTCCCGAGTGTCGAGATCCCGTGTGCACATTAATGTGCAAATGTGTTGCCATAGGAACTGCAAACTCCATTAGGCCTCAACGACACCATTCAGCGAAAGCCGAAAGGGGAAGGAAAAAATATTGTAATAACCAAAAATAAACGGGGAAAAAAAGGGAAGAAAAAGAATCAAAGGACACAGCCTAGAAAGGCAGCAAGGAGAGTCCAACGCACATGCGGCGCCTGGACGGGGCGCACGGGCTGTGGAAGATGCCGGGGTCCGATCTCATGTCACACTGGGGTACAACGGGGCCGAGTCCCGACGCTTCGAGTCTGCTTGCTGGCTTAGGAAGGAGGATGAGGATGGAGCAGTCATGGTGTGGCGGATGCGCAGAGGTTCCCACAGGTTATTTGGCAGAATGAGGCACATACAAAAAAAAAAAAACCCAAAAAATAACAAAAAGTGCAACACGAGCACCGCGGTAGTGCTATGTGGTCGAGTGCGTGCACACGTCTCCTCTTCATGCACTGGAGCAAGCGGGTGGGTCGACTGGTTGGATTTAATTTTTTTTCCTCTCTGCATTTTCTTCGCAAAAAGTAATAACCAGTAAATGAGGGCAAGACGAATGCATATTCTGCTTACTGGTGCATGGGATACCCAGACCTGCATTCAGACGGTGTTTCTGCGCTCCGGCGGGGGCGTCGCTATGCTCTCTCCCACGGGAAGGGGGCGAGGACGGCTATGTACACGGAGCGGGGCCGGGCACGGGCACTGCCCGGGGCCGCAGCATGCGAGGGGCCGGCGGCAAAGCGGGCAGGACACGGAGGACGAAGGGAGGGAGCCTGGCAAATAAACAGCGACGAGAGAGAGGAGGGGGGTTTATTATTTTTTGAGGGCGGGGAGTGGGGAAAGGAGAAAAAAATCATTTTGTGTGTGGGGTGGGTGTGTGCGTTTGGTTGTGTTTTATTCTTCGCGCAGCTGCAGGCGGTAGCGGTGGTAGCGGAGCTGGAAAAACATCCTCTCTAGTAAGGAGTGCGTCATCCCCGGCAGGGCATAATGTTCCACGACACCCACGTGTTTGAAGCCCAAGGACTCGTAGAGCTTGTGGGCCGCCATCTTCACAGCTGTGGTTCCCAGCACGACGGACGAGTAGTTGTTGAGCACGGCGAACTCCAGCACCTTGCGGCCCAGCGCCTTGGCGATGCCTTTGCCGCGGTAGTTGGAGTCGACCGACATGCGGCGCAGCTCCACCGTGTTGTCCTCCTCGTTGCCTCGCGCCGCCACGATGCCCACCACGTTGCCGTCCAGGACGGCCACCCAGAAGCAGGAGCCTGAGGGAGATAAAGCAGCACATGGAGCTGCGGGCCGGTGCCAACCGGCGCGGGCCGGCCCCAACCAGTCCGGGCCGGCCCCAACCAGCCCCGCATGCCCGGCTGAGGTGTCGGGTGGTGACGGGTGGCTGGAGACCCCTGAGGGAATGTTTTGAAGCACCCAGATGTTCCCTTTTCTGGGGCACAACTGCTACCAAGGGCATCTGAGCACTGCAGACTGGGTGGATGCCTTCTCCCCGGCTCATAGTGCCATGGCATGGCCGGGGGGCTTATCCTCAGCTCATGACATGGGTGACTGGGGACTCGCATGCACCAGGAGGGACCACGCCACCTACCCCATAGGAACCCCGGCCCCTCTCGGCCCAGCAGTGCCAACCCAGGCCGCTCAGCGCGTCCCGTCCCACCTGGGCCGGGATGGACGTGCCACTCGCTTCAGCACCCACAGGTGCTGCCGCTATCTAGGTCAGCAGCCAATTTTTCAAGCACAGGGACCTGTCTTGACCTGTTTATTGTGAGCGGCTCGAGTGTCTCCTCGAGGATGCTGCGCTGAGAGCACCACACGCTCCTCCGATCCCCAGGGGCAGCTGACCGGGATGAGAGGCCCGAGGAGGCTGCGACCCCACAGCCCCTTCCCCTCCACGTTTGGGTCAGGCCACCCCCAAAGCTCCTCCGCACGTTAGGGCTTCCCAAGCGAGCCCAGGGCGCCGCTGCCTGCGCCTTGGCCTGGGAACAGCAGCTCGTCTTCCTAAAACCCACATAGCAGCCCATTTCCAAGGCAGGCTCTAAACAGTTCCTTCCCACTCGTAGTGCTGATTCTCCCTGTTCGGGGAGCACGTCGCGGGAGGCACACCAAGCTTGCGCGGCACAGCGCTTCCCGGAGCTGCCAAGCAGCACAACTTCAGTATTTTTAGATCTTCAAACAAACAAATGAACAAGAAGCCCCCAAGTCTCTTGATGTTCGCCATGCTGCAAGCTCCCTGTGCTCCTCGTGATGGGCACAGCTCCTCCCTGCAACCTTCTAGCCCCAAACGTTGTGCTGGATGTGGCCACTAGCCCCCATCTGCCCTGGTGGGCACCAGCCCTGTTGCAAGCAGCATGACTGCAAACCTGTGCTCCTCATTAGCTTTTACTTACAGCTTTAAACCTTAATTATAATGATTTTGAGTTCAACATGAAAAGAAAGAGTATCTGGCACATCTCCCAGTGTGTGTTGTGCATGAAACACTTATAATTAGCACCAGACAGGGCACATCTGCTCAAACAAAGCAGCTCCCATCTGCACCAGCACCATCTTGCCCAAGGACCTCTACCCTGTTGCTGCTGCTGGGTGTCTGCACCGCCGCCCTTGGCCTGATCCCCCACACGGGCGCTGCGAGCCCAGAGCCAATTCCACTCCGGAGGACGGACATCTCCACTGGGAGCTGCCCCGACACGTGTTTCGCTACTGACACCCTTGCAGGAGATGTTGAGGACAACCCTGCAGGTTTCAGCATGGGGAACTTGCAACCGGCAACTCGGCTCTTACCTCAATTCCTCAGGTTTAATCCTCTCAAGCCACTAGCTGGAAGTCACCACTGCTGCAAAGATAAATACAAACTCCAACAACTGCCAGTCCTCCTGCTTCAACACCACCACCTCGACCCTCATCTGCCTCCACACTCTGCACTTCCCTCCATCCCTCACCATTTCAGAGGTCCAAATCACTCCCTCTCACTCTGGCCCAACTCCTCTTAGGTTTCAACCCCGTTAAAAGAGGAGTCTCTCAAAGGTCTGTTCTTCCTAGACACCTCGTGCTGAGCTCCCACTGCCCTGCAAACACCCCTCGCTTGCACCCCTTCTCCTGGAGGATCTTCTCAGCCACAGAGTCCTCACCAGTAGACTCGATCCCAGAGGACATCTCCTGTCTCACAGACCTGGTCATCTCCAGCACTTCATGTATCGCCTTGAAAGCACTCCTGCTTAAACCTTGTTCAGTTCAGGCTTCCCTCTTGAACAGCCAACAACTGCACGGTGAACACAACCCATGGCAGGTTGGATGCTGCCACATCCCAGTGGTGCCCCACAGACCACTGGGAGCAACAGCACTTGTTTTCCTGAAACACAGGGACACCCCCAGCCATGGAGAGGACCACTGAGGCCTCCCCTTCCCACACACCAGGTATTCAGACACCCCCACTGGGTACGGGTGTTGGGTACAGGGTACTGGCCCCTATCCAGACTCAGGTCCAAGCTGCCTTCACACACAAGTCCTTTGGTAACCCCAGGTTGAGGTCTTCTTACCTGGGGAAGGACAATCCCAGCTCTTACTAAACAGAGTCTTCCCCACTTTTCCCATCCAGCCTCTTTGCAATGCCCTGCCCTAAGCTCCCCCAAATCCTCCTCCCACAACAACTGTCCTGGTGTGCTGAAGGGGAGCCCTGGGAATACAGAGCACACCGAGCAGCCCATGGGGGACACCACCATGGGGGACCACCTCGCTCAGCTCCTTCAGGCCTCCAGTCACTCAGATCAGAGCTTGGGCTTCAGCAGTGCATAGCTAAAAGTTGCAATAAAGCACAAAGTGGTTGTGACTTGCCTGAACAGCAGGGCATTTGGGGGTGGTTCATGGTTCACAGATTTAGTGAAACTGCCTTGTTTTTCTACAGTGTCTTCTCCCCTTACTTCCAAGGTGGTCAGCCTGACAGGCCACCCCTGTTACAACCCAGCTCCAAGGGACACTGCTTACAGATGCAAGAGGAGCTCCAGAAGGCAACACTTTTTCCTGAAAAGGCTGGTATCATCCAGCATCACCCCCCATCTACCACACAATTAGGCTTCAGCTAACAAGGCAGAGGACAAATGCAAGCAGATACGTGAACACCAGTGTGAGTCCTGCATGATTAGGTTAGCTGGGCCTGCGAGCGTAACACAGAGATGCCCCAGGGGGATAAACAAGCCTTACAAAACGCATTGGGAGATAAAACAAAGCCAGGGCTCCCTTATCTGTTGCCTTCTTAGAGTTATTTCAAGTATCTGGGATGGCAAGAGGCCAGCTGCTCTATCTTATCTTTCTCCACTCCTCTGTGGGGTGTCTGTCTTTCAACAACATCTCTCCATACGGTGGCAAACTACATCCCCTTACTAAGCAGTAACTCCAACCATGTAGCTGTCCATGGACTCAGCTTCACCACTGTGAAGCTTCCTGGTCTGAGACCATCACTGGAGACGCACAGGAAGATGCAAGGCTCAAAGTCATCCACACCACAAGAAAATAACCTCAAAGGGGTCAACACAGCCCCCGAGATGATGGTGCACGGAGCTGAAAGGGCACCCAGCAGTAACATCTTTCTGCTTCTTGCCACCGCCACGATGCTCCTGCACGTCTCCTCTCCCGGCAGGAGCTGCTCAGCGCTCCCCCACGCAGCCGACAAGGAGGGTGCCTGAAAACAAACTCCATTTATTTTTACTGCAAATCCCTCACCACCCTTTGGTGAATAAAGGGCCGGTGGGTGGGTGGGTGGAAAGATGGGAGCCAACAGCAAGAGCAGAGAAGATGGGTAGAAGGGGGTGGGCAACGAAACGTCAGCCTTCCCCATCATCACAAGTCCTACGTGACCAAATATAGCTGGTTCCTACAGCAATTCCATGTCTTTTCACAGGGTTCAGGGACAGCTACTCTTAAAACTAGGATTTAGCAGCTGTGCTTTGCTCCTTCTAGTACCTACGACAGAAAACACACATTCTACGGATACCTTTAAAATAGAGAGTTTTTGATTAAAATCCACCTGGTCTCTCCAAGAGCGGGCAAGGCTCTACCAGAGCCAGACACGGGCGCTCTGCAAGCAGGCTGACAGGCACCTGATGGCCCCACACAGCCCTTGGTCCATCGGGGCTCCCATGGGACCCTCACTTTGGAGCAGCGAGCTGAGCCAGGTGGGAACTCACCACTCAGAGCTGGGCAGGGTGAGATTGGCTCCTGGACCCAACACAAAGCACTGGTGATAATTCTGTGGGTCTAGATACTCTCCCGCCAGAAGGCATTTTCAGTGGGAGCTCAACCCGTGGCCGCATTTCTGAATCACCTCCCCCTTGGAGCAGGTCCTTATTCCCTCTCTCCCGTGCAGGGGGGCACTGGTAGCTCCCCAAGCCCTGAGCTGAGCAGTTTTTCCCCTGCACTTACACTCATTTTCACTGCGTACAGCATGCGCTCGGGTGCAAGCTGGTTTCAAATGCTGCTCTCCCTCCTCCAGCCCCCCGAATAAATGAGAAGCTGACAGCGCAGAGCAGGTGCTGCCAGCCTGTGCTGTGATCAAAATGAAAGCAAGAAATCCTCCCACTCCCACAGACAGAGACTTTCATGGTTCCTTGCAACATGTCATTTTCAGACAGACAGGCGACTTCCAAAGGCAACATCCCTTTAAGCATGTTTTCCATGGACTGTCATTTCAACTCTGCTTTATCCTGTGGCAGCTGCACAGATGTGAGCCATTCCCCTCCTGGCTCCAAGCTGTCCAGCGTGATATCCTGCAAGCACCAGCCAGACACGCAGCCGGGAGGGCCGGGTGGGAGCTCTTACCTCTATGTGAGGCCAAGTGAAGATGCACAGTCTGTGTACTATCCCTGGAGCTGGAAATAATGAAGAAAGGAAGCCAATGCCCCCCAAGATTGGCATTATGGGGCAACTCCTGCCAGGCCCCAAAATTAAAAACTGCATCTGCACATGCCCTCAGAAGGGTGGTTCTGTGCTCCAGGAGGGGACACAGGCTGCCCATGGCCCTGCACTTGTCTCTGGGTATTTGCTGGAGGTAGCAGGAGAGCCTCTGCTCATCGCAATGTTCTTCAAGCCAAGGTCTTCCTCAGACCGCAAGGTAGGGGCAGGGCAAGAACGCTTTCCACAGGACAGGGCCTGTAGCCCCTCATTCCTTCATACCTGCATAAAAGCTTGCCCAAATTGACAGGCTGGCCAAGCCTCATTAGCAGGACCCAAATATTTGAAAACTGCTCCCAAGAATGCACTGTCC